TCGGCAGCGCCATCCGCTCGCCAGCTGGCCACCATTTCCTCCCATTCCTCCGCACGCGGCTCCGGCCTTGCACGAGGCGGGGCCCCTAAGTTGTTGGCAGCAAGTCGAAGTTCGGCTCTTGCAGCATCCTGGATCTGAACCGCTTTCACAAGCTCGGCTTCCAGACGTTCGAGGTCGTTGTGGTGTCTGGTGGATTCCTTGATCCACGTAGCTTTGAGCTTGGCCAAGTATGCACTCCATTGTGTGCGCTTGTCGGTGATCTGCTTCTCGATCGACATGACTCTCATCTCGGCTTTCCTGGTGAGGTTGATGTTCGGCTGGAGGGTTTGCGCGAACCCAGTCTGTCCAGGCTGAACCTCCTGTGCATCCATGCGGCTGGAGGGTTGCGCTTCCGCCGACCACCACTGCTTGTCGTACTGAGGGAAGGCCGCATTGTCTCGCTTCGGGGTGGAAGGCCAGCTGCCCCAAGATCCACGCCAGTACTTTGAGCCCCCTTTGTTGGGCCATGCTTTCCCACCCATGGGACCACTATGGTGGGATAAGAGGCGGTGGATGTCCTTAGCAGCAGGGTGCACTCCCGCAGCTCTTGCACGATGTAGTCTTTTCCTGGCCTTGCTTCGCTGCCGCCTCTGACGACGGTGCCACCCCGGACTCGCCGGGTGTTTCCCTATTCTGGGAAAAAGACGTGTCAGAAGACACTGGGGCTACAGCTATCGGACTGCTGGTGTCCGTGTTCTGAGCCCTGATTCAGGACTAATGTAGATGCATTGGTCAACACACCTAGCATCCTATGCCCCTAAACCCGAAACCAACAAAAACAAACCGACCAGTGCAGATCTCAATATCTTTCCGAATGCGACTTTGCGGTGAGCCTCGGGCTCGGATGCCGTTGAGAAACTGCCCCTTATCCCTAAACCCTGAACCCCAAAGTTCTGAACTATCAAGCCCTTATGGAAAACCTAAGTAGCCCTAAATCCTGCATTCCGAAGCCCTGAACTGAGCTTGGGATTTTAGGGCCTTGAGGGCCGCGGCTTCGGCTTAGGACTCAGAGTTTGAGAAGTTTCGCTTCTTGCTATGTACCCCCTCTCTAGGAAGGTTCATAGTAGGGCTTTAGAGGGTTGGCATTCCAACATATTACACACGGTTTGTTTTAGTGTGTCGGGGGACAGAGCTGTGTAAGGTTTCCGGAGAGTCGGTGTTCGAAGTCAACGGATCGTTAGGGCTCTGTTGTGTGGAACTTACAAGGGGTACCCTCCCGGAAGGGGTGAGTGGCCACAGCAGTACTGTTTCCGCGAGCGAACGACCGACAGAAAAGCATCTTAACAGCTTGCTGTACACTTTCCTATACACTTCTGTCTTCTGTCGAAAAAGTCTGTTTAAACTAGTCTCTACTTTATGTTCTTCTTGCATCCTGAGCCTGAGCATCGGCCAACCTAGATGATACAGTGCTTCGTCGCTGTAGTCACGTCGTCAATCACATAGGCGCGTACCTTGCAGCATCTCCGCTCCCCCTGCTGGCATGGCCACTGCCGTGCCTGCACTCCTCCAGGGCGGATAAAACCGCCATGCTAGAGTACCAAGTTTGATCAATCGACTTCGGCAGGTTGTCTGACCAGCTCGAATTCTGTTCGCCCCACCCAGCGCTCGGAGAGAGACCTGCGGGCCGTCACAGGATCTGTGAACTCATCATCAACGATCTCATAGCGATTGGTGTCAGTGTAATACACCAGCGTCCTTCGACGTCCAGTGAACTCCACTTGACCAACTTTTCGAGCATAACCGGGATGTAAAAGCTGGACGCGCGGTGTGCGATGCCACCTCATCAATACCGCTGGGCGTAGCAAAGGCTGATACAGGAAATCATCCGGTCCAGGCCCTGGTGGCAGCTGGTGCACTGCCGAAAGCCTGCCTCCCCAGACCGACCGCTGCTGATCGATGTCCCGTAAAGGAACCCTAACCGGCACTTGCCAATCCTCCCTGATTACCGGAGCGACCATACGATCAGCATGAAGACCAACAACACCCGCCCTTGGGCCTTGGGTCCCAAAAATCTGAGGATTATTAGTTCTAATCGCCTGTTACCTTGCCTCCTCGATACTAAACACGGGCACATGTGGGACAGGGCGATCGTCCGTAGGACTTGCAGGGATTTCAACGGTGTCGTCCAAATATCTGATCACTTGCGTGTGCAGAGACGCCGGTTCGAGTTCCGGCTCGGTAGTCTGAACTGGGAGTCCTCTACGCCTAGCTCTCAAACGACTCTCTCTCTCTTCTCTCAGCTCTGTCTGCATCTGGAGTGCTTAACGTGGTCCTCAGGCAAAGGCTCTTGCAGATCAGGCCTTCTAGGCCGAAGCAGAACAGCTGAAAGAGTCCTAACTCCAAACTTCAACCCTTCCCAGCAGCACACGACCGTAACTACGACCCCGATCCAAAACGTCCACGCATTTC